TTACAGGAATTTTCATTGAGTGTTTGTCTAAAGACAATGTGAAAAAACAGTGTTTTAACAAGCCTATCAGTGCAGTGTGGGTGGAAAATTCTTCCCCACCCTCTTTACTTTTCTGCATTACATTGAGCAGTATGGTAAGAAATGCAGATTGCAGACAGTTCCTTGGCCAATTAAAACTATTTGGTATCTTCTTTGTGCCAAATACTCTTAGGCTGTAGTCGGAACAGACAAAGCAATTTAAACCTTAACTCTTTGGATATGTATGAGTAGAAATGTCAGTTATCATGGACTAAGAACCTCATATGGAAGGCTATCGAAATAAAGCTGATACAAATAAGACTGACATGAAAGCTTTTATTACAGGGGTGTCTGGGTGGCTCAGTCGGTTGACCGTCCAACTCTTGGTTTCAGCTCAGGTCATGGTCTCGGGGTTCTGGGATGGAGTCCTGTGTGGGGCTCTCTGCTCGGCAGGGAGTCCGCTTGGGATTCTCTCTCTCCCTCTTCCCCTGACCCTCCCCCTACTCTCCCTCTCTCAAATAAATAATCTTTTTTTTAAAGCTTTTATTACAAAGCACTTATTGGCAAATTAGTAAATAACAAGATATAGTTAAATCTGTTAAGATCAAACAGTTCAGGAGCAGGAAAATTTAACAAGAATATTTAACAATTTAATTAGAACTCATTCTGTTTTAAATTAATTTGAATCTCATTATTTGCTTGCTTGCCTAGTGGTTATTTTAATAGAACACTTACCCCCCAGCCCTTTCGGAACCTACAGTTGGCTTTCACTGGTAGCAGGGCACATTTTAGCTTTCTCAGACTTGTGACTTTAACCCTTACAGCTTGACATCAATACCTGCTGACATCAAGTCACTTTGCTCTTAGCACATCACATAGTTGGAGGGGGGGAGTGCTTCTACTTTGTTTTCAAGATGCACAGCTAATTGGAACTTGAATGAATTAATCAGCTATGGGGTTTGCTGCATGCCCTCACAGCTCTTTTCTGGGACTTTAGAATTTACCAGAATAGGAGTGAAAGAGTACAATCTTACACCTTCTGGACAGACAGGTAACCATCCAAAGTGGCCAGATGCAGAAAGACATTGGAACGTGGGCCCACAGTAGCCCCAGGATTATCTTGTATTTATCTGGCTAATCTTTGCTGAGCAGGTATGAGCCAATTAAATAGACTCTTTTATTTCTTCCCAAGGCTGCCTGATGGCCTAAGATTATGGAAGGATTCTAGCTATCGTTTGATCTCAAGCAGAGAAACCCAAAGCCATGGGCCTACCCAGACGTTTTAGTCATTGCACCTGCCTGGGCGACATCTCCAAAGAGACCCCTGGTAGATTGCTCGGGATCAAGTGGACTGCCTTATTTCTCCTATTCTGCAGTACAAGCGCCAGTATACGATTTGGACCAGCAAAGCGGAGGGGTTCCAAGGCTGTTCAACTGGTAGTGCCAAGAAGACAGGCCTTGAATGCCGTTTGAATTGTAACTGGTATCTCTGAGTGGGGAGTGAAGAGTGGCCTGTGTTTTTAACTCTGATTCCGGAGGTTTTCTCCATGACTTAGTTTCCCCTTCTTTCATTCCTCCTGCTTCCCTACAGTTCATCTCCGCTTTGTGCCCCATTGTGTGATGTGGAGGCCGGTCGACAGCACTGCAATGCCAAGTTTTTCCTTGACAGATCTGCAAGCACCGGTGAAATGCACCCCTCTATTCCCCCAAATGGGTCTGGGTGGGTGTGGCCGCTCAAGAAAGCTGGGCCCTACACGGGGCCTCAACGGGCGGCCCGCGGGCACCAAAGGGCTTTCCGGGCCGGGTTTCCCATCTCTCTCCCAGCTCCAGCAGCCGACCACAGCCTTCCCGCGGCCTCCCTTCCCTGCTCGCAGTACTAAGGGCTTCGGAGTCTGCGGCCGGCCGCCTGGCCACGGAAGCCTGCGGCCCGGCGCCTGCCCTCAGGCTAGCTTTCCTCCCGCAGCTCGCCTCGCCCCGCCGCCAGCGCCCCAGGGAGCCCGGCCGCGCGCCCGACGCCCCCGCGCCGCCCCCGCGCCGCCCGGCTCGCAGGCCCGAGTCCAGGCGCCCCTCTCTCGGGGGCTGGGCGGCGGACGGGCGTGGCCGGCGCCGCGAGCCCTCCCCGCCCCGCTCCCCTTCCCTTCCCTTCCCTCCGCTCGCTGCCATCTGAATTCCCCCGTCGACTCCTGGGCGGAGGCCGAGCGAGCCTTCGCGAAGGGCGAGGGCGGCGGGAGGAGGGCCCGGGCGCCCCTCCCGGGCGGCGCGGCGCCGGCCGGCGGTACAGTCGCGCGCTCGCCGCCAGCAAAGCCATTGGCTCGGCGCAGTCACCCCACGCGGGGCTGCAGCTGCGGCCTCCGCGGATTGGCGCGCGGGCGGGCATCCAGCGGGGCGCGCGCGGGCGGGTGCGTGCCGCACGGGCTGTAGCGAAGCCCACCGTCGCCGGGCTGGGCTCCTCCGGCCCGTAAAGACCACCCTTCCATTGTCCTCGAGTTGCTGAAGCTGTATTTGGGGCGGCTGCCAGCCACAGTCCCCAATGCTCCGGCCTAAAGAAAGGGCGCGAAAGGCGCGCTCCCCGCTCGGGCGCACGCACGGACCGCCGCCCTCGGCGGCACACTGCAGCATTTCGCGCTCTCGCGCCGCTCCCCTCCCCGCCTGCATCATTTGCATATCCCACGATTGTGGCCAATCAGGGCTCGTCTCTCTCGAAGCGGATGGCTTTTGCCTGAGAGGAAAGGGAGTGGCTGGCGGCGCATGCGCCGCGGTGGCCGACTTGAACCGAGGCTTTTATTGCTGTAGTTTATTTCCACCCCTTCCCTCCTGTTCTCTCTCTCTCTCTTTCTTTTTTTTCCGCCCTAGCTGGGGCTGTGTTGGAGCAGAGGAAGAAAGGGAGACAGAGGATTGCATTTATCCCTTCCGTTCCTGAAATCTGCTATCAGCAAGACCAGCTAAGGGGTTGCAGCTTTTTCAATCCTGCAAAAAATACCATCTCTTTCCTGGCAATTTTTGCTTAAAAGCTGTCCTCTTGAAATTATTTTTTTCCCAGGAGAGAGATGTCTTATCAGGGGAAGAAAAATATTCCACGCATCACGGTGAGTTTGGTACTTGGGAAATCTGCGGTCGGCCAGCAACCTTTTGTGGCAAAGAACATCTAAGGAATTTTTTAAAAGGAGGGGGAGGAAGAGGAACACAACTTTTCTTTTTTCTTTTTTTCCTGTTGCTAAAGAAAGCGATCGGGGTGGTGGGAGACGCAGTCATATAGAATTGTAAGCTACATAATTTGTAAGGCATTAAAATAGGAGCGTAAGTGCATTGAAGGACGTCTTAGATAGCGCGCCAGATCCGCTGTATCCTTTTATTGTCAGTGCGAGATGCTGCATTGCTGGCCTGCGGGGTGTAAGCAAATGGATGCCAGATTGAATATGCATGGTTGAAGCTCGGATATTGTTCTCCGGGCTGCGTGCTGTGAGGCTGGACTCCAGGAGCTGGATGGGGGAGATGGAGAAATGGATTCTCCCTGTGCCTCCCGCCCCCACCATAAAGGCTTTCTGGAGCCTTCCTCCGGCGTCTTAGAAAAAGGAGCGGGTTTCAGCCCGGAGGCGTAATGACAGCAGAGGGATGCTGGAAAGGGCAGGGAGTACCGGGATGATGTGGAAACGGGAAGGGAAAACAGGGACACGGTGATGAGCAGAGGAGGGTAGGGGGCCAGGCGTGGGCTTTTTGTTGATCAGGGGCTGGTTTTCGGTGGCCCTCTCGGCTTCCTCGCCCTCGGTTTGGGGCTGGAACCCTGGCAGGGCTCTGAGCTCGCTTTCTTGTGTCTTTCTGCCCCTTCTGCAGCCAAGGAGGCGCCTGTGTTGGCGCATACAAAGCGGGCTGGGAGGGTGGGCGTTGGGGACAGCGCCGAGCCGGGCTCGCGGAGGTAATGGCGCTGCGCGAGGCGCGGAGCAGATGGCCCGGCCCGGCCTCGGCAAGACAATGATCGCAGCGGCTGGAGGTGTCGGCGCAGTTCTGGGGCCTGGGGTTGTTGGTTTGTAAATCACGAGAAAAAAACACCTAAGCGATGAATTTGCGATGCTTCAGCGCTGAACCACAGGTTCTTGCCTTTACCCGCTCTCTTGCCCCCACCTTCTCCCCATCTTTTCCTGGAAAAAAATCGCACCAGCCCTAGTTCTCTACATCCCCGAATAAAATCCCGGGGAGGGAGGAACGCGAGGGAAATTCATTGTTATATAATGATGTGCAATTGGAATTGGCCAGTTGATTGCTGGGTAGAACCCAGGGCTGAGGCAGAGACCGAAAGAATCCTGGTAAACTCAAGATGTGTTTAGGGCTGGATTTGAGGGCGCGCTTTCGCTCTGGTTTCCTCCTTAGCCACGGACACCCCGGCTTCCTCTGGATGCACAAGGGCACACCCATCCGCAGGAGAGAGACGTGGAAACAAATGTAGAGGGGAGGGGGCGTGTGCTCGGGAGGACTTTATGGGATGAGCCAGGCTGTGCTACAGCGAGGGTGGGTACTAGCTTTTTCTTGAAGGCCGAAGACCCAAGATCCGAAAGGGCCGGGCGCAGGGGCACCGACCCTACGTTACGTGTTCCCTCCTCTGGAGGAAGGAGTCTGGGGAGTGGGGGTGGGGAGCAGATTTGCTGCAAGCCTCAAATAATTTGTTTTCTTCGTGAATGGAAAAGGCAGTTTCATTTTGACAGTGTGCGGAGAAAAAAATTTAAAAAGCAAACAATCAAGAGTTTTTTTTCTTTAAAGAGCGCCCCCTCCACCCTTAAAAATCTGGTTGCATTATTTTAGGACCTATATAGCGTGGTTTCCCTCCTTCCATCATCATGGCCAGCATCTTATGTAAGAAGCCTTCTGGAAGGCACTAGAGTGGACGAGGTTGTGATGTCTCATTTTTTTTTTTTCTTAGCATGATGTTGGCTCGGGGATTCGCATTGATGGCTGGGACAGGTACTGCAGTGACTAAGCGAGCTGGTAATGAAGGGCAGGGCTTCTCCTTCTCTCCTAGGTGAGATTTATCCTGTTAGAGCTGAAGACTGGGGGAAAGGGGAAAAATTCATTATAGACGGAGAAAAGGACACTGGAGCAGGTGACCTTGAGCGAGTGGCTTAACCCCTCAGCCTCCGTTTGTTTATGTGTCATAGGAATAAGAATCGGGCCCCACCCACCTCACAGATGTGTTTTCGAGGCTTTGGTGACTTAGGGTACATGACAGGATTTTGTAAAGGTCTTTACATTTACCTTATACAAGTGCAGGAATTACTGTTGACTCTTTATTCCCATTTGACTTTCTGAAGTCTATAGCAGGATGAAGGACCCTACAGTGTACAAAATTAAGATGAACTTACTGTTTTTCATTATGTTAGAGAAACAGTAAATACTTTCTATACCCGGCTGTGTGTGCATTTATGTGTAAAAGTATCTTTTTTCCCCTAGGTGTCTAGCAGCTTACTTATTTATTTATACCTCCCACCCCCTATATTTTTTAAAGATTTCTATAATTTTCTTTTTTTTGGTGGGTGCTCACTATAAAGAGCACTTAGTAGGAATACTGGTTTGTAACTAAGTTAACCATTGTCAAAGTGAATGTCATCCCTCTGATGTGTTTTGTATATTAAAAGAGCAGTCTGTGGTTCAACTTGTAACCCAGTCCAGAAGAATACAGGTGCATCTCCACTGAACCCAGGCTGTTAATATCGCATTCCATCAACAGCATTTGGGATAGAGATGAGTCATAATGTAACATTTCTGTTGCATTTCTGGCCCTCATGTGCTACTTGTCATGGACCTGTATTTTTCACCAAGAGAATACAAGTGCATCAATAATGTAGATTTTGGAACTTGCCTTTTCATCTACTTGATCACAAAACTCTACCTTTTTCTTAACAGCTTGGTAGTTAAAGTGGTGTATATTTGAAGTATATTCCCCCCTCTTTGTTACAATCTCTGATTTATCTCAAAGATAAAAAGCAAATATAAAGAACACATTGAAATGAAACTTTGCAATTGTTGAACCAAGTGTGTTTGTATAGAGTATCCCATGACAACAGACTTGGTTACTTCCCCCCCCCCCCACCAACCTTGCCAAGAATTGACTTCCCTACATGTGGGTGTATTTTTTTTTTTTTAGAATGACGTTTAGCCTAAAACCATTTAAAAAATATTGTCTTTATCTGAAATGTTTTCACTGCTCTTTAAAGGGAAATTGTTAGGTGTTCTTTCATTTTCTCTCTTTCAGTGGAAAGGGATCTTTTTTTGTTTCATTTTGTTTTTAAACCTAGGATAAGCTTTGAGCTTTTGCCAGTGTGTTCTGACTCATCAAGTGATGAATAAGTTGTCACATCAGGTTCACCTTTGTCACTGAACCTTTCCAAAATTGGCTTATTTTGAGCATCTCTTCGGAACAGTGAAAAATAATGTCCTTAGCTCATTGTCTTAGTAACAGTGTTTCTCATCAGTCAGGTATGAATTGTGACCTTATTACTTTCTTTGTTTCAGAGCGATCGTCTTCTGATCAAAGGAGGTAAAATCGTTAATGATGACCAGTCATTCTATGCGGACATATACATGGAAGATGGGTTGATCAAGTAAGTGTAACTCGTAATAGAGACAAATTTGTGTACCTTCCCATACAGCTCACGTGCATAGCATCAAACTTTGGTGACTTCAAAGACTCAACTACCTTAGGGTCTGTTTAAGTTCATTTTGATTCGTGGTAATTAGTGAATTTGAAAACTCAGATTTAGGGAATTCAAAGCCACAAATGCACACCCATTTCCTTATGTGTTACATAATTCACTCTTTTAACTGAGGTGACACAATATCTTCCTGTTGCCAGTTCAAATACTTGGTTTATGATCTATTGAATATATTAAAGGTTTTTCCTGGAATGTAGTTGTTTCCGTAGATTGCCCAATCTAAGACATAAGTGTGGTGTTCCAGCCTCTTCTACCAAGTTAACACATCTGCTTTCTTAATTAAGAATCCAAGTTGCTGGGGCCACGGGACAACAAATTAACAACCAAGTAACAGACAAAGTACTGCCTCATCCTGAGGGAATTGTAGGTTTCATTCTGTAACACAAATAAGACTGCCCTTGTGTTTATTGTGTATTGTGTTGCAGAGGAGAACCAACACAGGGTTAAGTGTGCTGAGTATATACCAGTATCCTCCTGCCCTCCAGACTGGGAGAGCTCACAGGGCCCTGGAGAAGGAGCACATCTGTTTAAAGACAAACACTGTAGCGAATGACATGTTTTAAATAAGCAGCATTCATCAAGTGCTAGCAGCAAACCAGTCCAGAGGAGTGGAAAACTGGAGTGGATGTGTCTGTTGCCTGGAAACTCACACCCTGATTTATGAACCTAAAATAGGTTTTAACGTTTCCGCATTTAATGTTTTCTCCATGTGTGTTTGCTTGTGACATTCTCTGCTCCAAGCTCTCAAATACCATGACTTTCATGTTCCATTTTCCCCCAATTAGAAGGCAGCATGATACTGGCCTAGAAGTGAGCAAGCCTGCGTGCTATTTTTAGTCAACACTAATTTGTTTTAGAACTTTATCAACTCCTCTTTGATTACTTTTTCCTTCTGGAAAAAAAAAAAAAACTGGTAGCAAGATGTAGTCCAGATGTTTTTTAAAAATTGGGAATGAATCCATGTCCCCCAACATAATATCAGTTTTTCTGTCTTTAGTATCTGAGTTGCTGAGCATATGCTTCCAGATTTTTAAATAGTTGTAATCATCCTGTTCGCTTTTTTTGTTTTATTTTGTTTTTTTCTTTTGCTTTGTTCTACTACCTTTCCACCCTGTTTTCTCAGGGTTGAAAATAAATGTTTGTAAAGTGCAGCCAGGTCTGGAGAGAATTGCTCTAGGGTAATTATTTCAGCTATGTGTGTTACAGCAAAAGTGTTGTGACCTTTTATGTAAATATCTTGGGGCTTTGTTATCATTAGATCTTAGGGGTTTTCTGGCAACTAAACGTCCTGGATCAGGGCTTCTAGTGTCTTATTTACATTTTGTTTTCTAGTATGCTCTGCTTTGCCTCTTAGTTGGGCATAGGGACTGGGGACCGCACATATTATGAAAATGAACAGTAATCCAAAAAGTCTATAGAACCTAGGGAAGGATGGTTTCTGGCTTCGTGATATGTCTCTCAGATGCCATTTGATTCAGGGATGGTTCATTTATAGCTGTTATCATTCCATCCTGTTTATTTAGGCAAATAGGGGAAAACCTGATCGTGCCAGGAGGGGTGAAGACCATCGAAGCCCATTCTAGGATGGTGATCCCTGGAGGGATTGATGTCCATACCCGCTTCCAGATGCCTGACCAAGGAATGACCTCCGCCGATGACTTCTTTCAAGGCACGAAGGCAGCCCTGGCTGGGGGAACCACCATGATCAGTAAGAGAGCTTAAGAATAATGATCTTAGAGCTTGGTAGCCATTATTGTTTGAAAATGAGTCTTTGTTGTTTGATTCTTTCCTTCTAAAAGTTGCTGGACTGAGCAGTGGATTGATTGACCACAGAAGGGGGTGGGGGTGGGACAGCTGTTTGTCTTGGTGTCCTTTTCCTCATTTTCTTGTCCAGCTCGGAGTTGTCCAGTTGAACTGGAGAATACGGTTCTAGAGAATTTTGGTAGGATAGAAGGAATGGCTTCTTGCTTTCTCTGCTTGAACTTTTGTCTTCCTTAACCTGAACATGTGATTTGATTGTGGTCACTTTAAAGACACAGCATTTGGAGTAGGTGTCAAAACTATCCGTTTTGAGCCTTTGCTCCAAAGTATTTGATTTTGGTTTTTAAAGAATTCCTGAGGGTGCCTCTTCCTGGAATGAAGATGGGGTGCAGTAAATGGAATGTTGAAGTGGGAACTTCTCTTCTACTGCTGAGAAAATCAAATGGGGGGAATATTTCCTGGCCTGGCTTTGAGATAAATGGATTTGGGAAGTCCTGCTTGGAGAGGGAGCCATGGATAATATTAATTGTCATTTAGATATGAAAATTGCCGGCACCAACAGCTGGGTGTCCTTCATACATTGCTGCAAAGAATTTATGCTTTTCTTTCAGCTAAATCTAAAACGTATTTCCTGGAGTCCTAGCATGCACATTAAGAGTTTGCTTGTAAAATGGCAATTTCCAATGTGTCTCTTGACGTCCCTGTAACAGATCTTGTTTTTGAGGAGGTGAGCAAGCTACACAGTGACCTGTCAGACACATAGGTAAAAAAAAAACCAAGTTTATCTGAGAGTGAAAGTAAATACACAGTCTATCTTCAAAACTTATAGTTCAGTTCAGAAGAGGGTCAAAGTAGAAAACTTCGCTACTTTATTCCTTAGAGAAACCCCTTTTACTGCTTATTTTTCAGAATGATGGTCTTTTCCCCTATAACTTCATGGTCCCAGTCTCTCACTTCCTCTTTTCTATCCTACCACCTAGGTGAACGTTACCCGGCCATCCCCTCCTAGTTCTGAATTCCTCTGCATTTTAAATTGCGCATTCCTGGTCTTCTCTCAGTCCCTGTCCCAGAGTGTCTGAAGGATCAGGGACCATTCTCTCCTGATTCAGCTCTCTAATGACAGAGCCTGCAGGTTTAAGCCTTATTACTTCTTTGTTTTTGCTGCACACATCACCTCCTAACCTAGTGGGGGCCATTCTCAAGGGGTGAGGGGACCCTCCCCCACACACCTCAGGACCCTGACCTCCCGGAGAAGGCTGCATTTTGTCAGTGACGTCTGTTAAGACTTACTTGGTACCAGTGGGCATGGCAGCCTGTCCTTCAAGGCCAGCTGCAGAGCCACACTCGAGCTTTGAGAAGCACAGACTGCTTGGGTGTCAGCCTCCAGGGTTAAATCAAGGTTATAATCTGCCTCCGTTTGGAGTTCATATGGGGGCCCTGTAGGCCCCCACGTTGGTCACAGAGTATTAAGAAGCCAGAAATAACATTTCCTGAGTGAGTGGTCAGTGGTGTCTCTCACTAGAGGGATTGCTGGGCTGGAGCGCTCCATGGTAGAAATGCTGCTAACCCGGAATCTGACGTTCTGGTCTCCGTCCAGCATTAAGTCGCTGTGTGACCGTGGGCAAGTCATCTCCCTTGGCGGAGCTGCTCATGTGCACGATGAAGGATTTGCTCAAGATGACCTTGGATGTCCCTTTCAGCTCCCACATTTGGTGATTCACTGAGCTCAGAGACAGTTTGCCTCTGATCAAATGCACTTCGCTCAGCAGATGCATTAAAAACCCTGTTTTTTCTCAGACTTATTTGAAAGACCCCATCATTCTGTTTTCTCCTCTCCTGCATCCCTGAATGTGCCTTTCACTCCTTACACTCGACCCATTCTTTGGGGCCCCCCCCTTCCTGCTTCTCATCTCTTCTCTGCGTTCCCGTCCCCCACCACCTTCGCCACGAGTCAGGGCATATCCCTTCTTGCTGATGCCTTGACTTCCTCTTTGACCTTCCTCCTCAGCGGCTCTGGGGTTCTTTCCCTTCATTCAGGGTGGGCTCCTTTTGAGCAGGGACAAAGGACATGTCGCTCCACCAGTCCTGCCTCTGGCCTGGGGGCTGAGAACAGTCAGCAGAAGGCCTTATGGCAGGTCAGAATGAAGGGGAAGTGAGAAGTTGGACCGCCTGCCTTACTCAGTTGGGCAGAATGTGATCGTGTTTTAATGTAGGGTTTGTGATGCAGTCAGTTAGGCCAAAGAGTAGGGGAGTTTAATGAGCACACCCCAAAGAGTGAAAGTCCTCAGCGGTGGTGGGGATGTGGTCAGAGTTGTCATACCCCAAACTCCACTGCTTTTATAGCCTGAGAAAAATATTAACTACCCTCGCAAATAACCACCCGTGGTTACTGACCTTTACAGAATGCCCACTGGTCTGCCCTAACCTTAGGATGTAAGTGGGAATAATACAGGTGAGGAAGTCAGGATTTTTTCTGCTTGCTGGTCATACATTCTGCACTGGCTTCCAGTGAGTCCCTGGCACGGGCACGATTTACAGAGACAGTTTTGCAAAGAGGGAGAACTAGCTTCGCGTGACTTTGTTGGTGCCTTCGACCTCCTCCTTCAGTGAGATCGTAGCTTCTTCAGTGAGTATGGAGGCCAAACGGAAATGCTTAGGGCACTTGAAAAGATTCAAGTGAAAACTTGAAGAAACAAGCCATCGAAGTAAATTGGTGCCCCAGAGCCCACACCCCTGTGCTTCCATCTCTCTGCTTTGCTACAAGCACATGCCCTTTGCTGTGTGTTTCTCAGGTCCGTCTGCATCGGCACTGCCCAAGGTGGAAAATGTAGCTGAGCGGTCCAAGTTTAAAAATGGAGGTGACACGTCAGCAGCAGAAAATAATATTATTGCCATCAAACAGAGCCTCCCATTGAGAATGGCACAAGGAGATCTTTGTAAGGGGCACTCAGTGCCGGGCAACTTTGCCCTTCCCATCCAGTGATGGGTGGGCGGAGCCTCCGGACGTGCCCTGCAGGCGGCTTCTAGACCGGCTGCGGGGTCGTGGAGGTGGCGGAGTTGCGTCTTGGGGAAAATGCTGCTGGCCTCCCCGGGAGCTTTATGATCATCAGTGTTAAGACCCCAGCATCTCTGGGAAACAGATGGGAATGGTTACCTCCATTTTATAGAGGGGAAATCTGAGGCCAGAGGGAAGCGCATTATTTGCTGACACTGTATCCTGTGTGTTAGTGTAGATGGTAGGTGTGGAAAACACACCTGCGGCTCTGGCTTCACCCTGCCAGCTGTGTGACCTTAAGCCTCAGTGGCTTCATCTGCAAAATGGGGAAAGTTAGAAAGATGGACTTGGAGACATTGGAACAGTACTTGGCCCGTAGTGAGCACTCAGATGTGGTAAGTTACTGTTATTCCATCTGCATTAGGTGCCAGCAACCTCCCATCTCTGTAGAGACCCCCTCTGGATCTCTGCTTTCTTAATGGAGCCAGAGAAGAGGCTCCAGCTGCAGGAGGAAGCAGGGCTTCTCCAAGCGTGGTCAGCAGGCTGTGAACCCCAGTGTTACCTGCTTGCATCCTAAAACATTCAGCTTCTTGGGCCCCACCCAGCCTATTGAAGTAGAGAGTGTGCTGGTGGGACCCGTGAACTTGTATGTGAATCTGGTGATTGTCACATGCACTTGAGCTGTTTGCAAGTATGGATCTCAGGGGTCCAAGCCAGCTCTCCGGACTCTAGATGTCCAAGACCAGGAGCCACAGATCAGAGAAGAGAGCTTGACTGTCATTTCTGCTAACCTGAACTCTAGGCTTTCCATGGAGGGGTGGAGCCCCAACACAACACACCATATGGCAGAGATCCGGATAGGACTTGAGCACGGAGAAGGTGAGGACAGACTGCTGCAGCAGGCCTGGATGGGGGTCCTCTCTCTGTCTGTGCTCTGGACTTGTCACCTTGCAGATGGGGCCCCCTGGATGTGCCTCAGGCACCTCCATCTACCTATCCCCAGGCAGCCTCTCCTGGTGCCCAACCCCAGAGAGGGCGTCCGTCACAGTCATGCTGGCTTGAACCCATAAACTCACCGTGTGCTGAGGTGAGAATGTTGTCTCTGTATTATCTCTTGCACGCATCCCATTACCGCCACTGATTTATGCCTTTGTTGCCTGTACTGGATTTTTGGCCCAGCCTCCTGAGGAGGCTCACTGCCTCCAGGATGCTGTCTCTGCAGCCTGCATGTCTCCTTGCACCCTGGGTTCTTTGGCCCGGTGGGGATCGTGCCATCTCCCTCCCATGAAGCCCTCAGCGGGCTCCCTCTTGCCCAGAGAACGCAGCTCTAGCAGCAGAGCCCTCCACGATGGGATGTAGCCCCGCTGCCCCAGTCTGGACTCACGTTGTCACCTCGGCCAGGGATGCCCTTACCTTCTTTTCTTTGTTACCCTTGGAGGCCCTGCTAGGTGTTACCTCTGTTCCAGAGCCCCCACTCGGCCCCCTTCGCTGTAATGCACCGCGGCTTCTCTGTGCCTCGGCAGTCATTGGGTCTTTATCCCGTGGCCCTTATGGCATGCATCCTGTGTTACCATTGGATCAAGCCTCCTGCCCCTTTCCTTTGCATCCTCCCCACGCACCCAGCTGTGTCTCAGCCCTCAGGCACTCCACTGACGCTTCCAGTTGAGTGAATGAATGAATGAGTGAATGAGTGAATGGAGACTCTAAGGGGACTTGGTTTCACGCTTCATCTGAGCGCGATGCCAGAGTCCTGAGAATCCCGGGGTGGGGTTAGTGTGTCTGATGTCTGTCATGGGAATTTCAGTGGAAGCAGCTGTCTCCAGGGGTGAACCCCCGTGTCTGCCGCCCCATCCCCGCAGCCAGCCTAGCGCGACAGCTGGGGGAGGGAGGCAGGAGCAGAGAGCCCGGGGCCCACACCTGGCCTCGGGTCATGATCAGGGACAGCTCCCTCC